AGTTAAACAAACAAATCCCCCGTAAATTCAAAGTTGGTTGTTTTAGTTTTGTCACTAATTTTTAGGTCAAAGCCAGATTTGGACATTTGTTTTCCCTTTGAGAAAAGTACATCAATAAAATGACTAAGGCCAGTGTGATTCATGTACCTCTATGACCCATTTAAAGTGGCGGACTCTGTTTCCCTATTCCCTTAACCATAAAACCACCGCATTGGAGATTTTTTTGTGCTCTTTTAAGGCCCTCCCAGCCCAAATAATGTACACTGGATGCATTTGGCTTAGCAGCGATTAAACATGAACAGTCTTCTTTGAAGTTTTTGCTGACCTTGAAGAAATCCCCAAGCCAGTGTCGAATAAAATGTCGTATAAACAACCATCAGGGAAGCCAATATTTCAAAGAGCCGTTGCCTTGCGGGACGCATCTGTCTTGTAAGTATGGAAAAGGAAGTTATCTTCCCACAGAAATTCAGCAAATCTTCGCGAAAGCGAAATAAAGTGAAAAATTAATATAATTAGGTACGATTGTTTGTACCACTGGACCATACAAAGCCACATGATGTTGCAAGTGCGCAGTAGCGATACAATTGAAATTCCATCGCCTATGGAATAGGTGCAACACCGGATCCAAAATCTTGATTTACAGGGATACGCATTCATGCTCCAACTTCGTGAGTTAAGACGGGTAAAATATTGTCGAATTCACAAATTAATATGAGCTGCGTTTGAACCACTTAATGAGTTGTAAACAAATTTCCTTACTACGGAACTGAATGCTAGTATATTGTGCAGATCCATTAGTACATTTAATCATTTCGACCGAAAAAAATGGGGATTAAGGAAGGATTCAGAACAGAATTTCCAGATTTGTACATACACACACACACCCCATTCCTACGTTTGGGTGGAAAAGGGTAGGATTAGAAGAGGGAACATCGAAACCAAATGACGCAAATAGGTGGTTTTTAGCACTCTAGGACTATCTGTGCTGTGCACGTCGGCCTTGACTATAAATCACATACACACACACACACACACACACACGTGCACACACACTGGAGCCGGATGAAGAAAGACGGTAGGGAAGGAAGGAATGAAGGAATGAAGCCAGACAGGCAGGCAAGCAGGTAGGTAGGTAGGTACGCAAAAGAGCAAAAAAGAAATTCGTGAAAATAAACAGGTCTGCACTTTGATCATGCCGCTTGAGATTTTGAAAATGAAAAAAAGAGCAGATTCATATTAATTAGGTCTTCCTCATTCGTTCGCTCTATCTCCGTCTAACTAGTAAGTGTTTTTTAGTTAGTTTCTTAGCCTTTGAGGCGTGTTCGTACAGGTACAGTCAAACTCTCGAGCACGTAATTCACTCTTGTGCGTTTATTGTGTGTGTGCGTGTGTGCGTGTGCATATTCCAGAAAGCGGACACCTCCATTGAAATAGGCTCGCACACACGACATGCAGCGCGGCTGGAGTGCCCAACCAACCCATTTGGGTTAAATTAAAGAAAATTACTTTAATAATTTGGGCTGACCGTTAAAGGGGTCACAACCTCATCTGCCTCGTTTTTTTTCGTGCCAGGGTGATGACTCAACCCTACCCACTTATCGATTTGTTCAGACCCCTCCAAGCTTGGTTACCAGCCCAAGGCTCCATTCACACACACACACACACACACTGAGCCGGTTTCCAGCCCACTTTACGGCCTTCACAGGTTGACAACCATTATCGATTGGCTTGAACAAATTGACAACGATGCGTTAAATCTCTGACATTCGAACCACATAAAATGCAGAGTAAGGGCTATCAGTTATATGAACTGTTAATTCATGCCCGATCTCTGGGTCGTCATTCTACAAGGACACACGCCTTTCAGGAGAGACTTTTACACAAGAGATGCACTTTTCACTTGTCACCCTTTGTTAATCATGCCAAAGGATCCGAGTCGGTATTTCTTACCGGAAATGTTTGCATCACTCTCCACCCCAAAATACTGATTCGGTGTCTTCTACGTTTTGCCATCGCCACCAACCGTAATAGCACCGGTGGCCAGAGAGTAGCAAATTTAATCAGTACCGAGGTCACCATGGTAACAAACTGATTACATTGTTCTTGATGTTGTCAACACGTGAAGTGGTGAGAAGATGCATGGCTTTCCGTATATGATTGAACCAGCGCTTGGCCGGCAACCCCAGAATGCCTATTTCCCTCAATTTCAAGTAAAAAAACTTCTGCACTTTTGAAGTTTTGAGTGAAGAAGTCCTCGTTATGATTAATTGAGTAGGTGGTCTACGCTTGCGTGGGGCGTGCGTTTGTCTGCCGTTCGCCTGTCTAATTAATCAAAAAGTTGATTTATGGAGTCGAAATGCGATTTCATTCTTCGGGGTGGGTAAACGTGGAGGGGTTATTCAACTTAAATCATACTTTGCCAATGTAAACTTAGCTCGATCGCAGCACTTCTGCAAATTAAAAAAAAAGATTTCTCCACTGTGCTGCATTTGGAAAAAAATTGGATTAACTACTATGAAAACCTGTAAGGATTCCACCTCAAGAGGATACTTTACGTGTTGGACGGAATGAATGAAAGTGGTTCTAAGGCATCTGAATGACTGCCTCTCATTTCGTCGTCTGTCCTCCTATCAAACCATTCCCCCACTTCTTCATTCGTTCAAACATCAACAGAATCCATCACCCAATAACAAGGCCAACACCTCGGCCACTCAATTCTTCATCAACCCTCATTTATTTTTTCACGCATTCATGCATTCATCCATGAGTTTATCAAGGGAACCAGAGAAACGCCCAACCATCGGCCATTTCTTAAGATCCCCCACTCATCTACCCACCCTTTCTTGCACCTGTCCATTAATCTTTTCATCTACTCACCAAACGACGGATACATTCATCCATTTTTCCATTCACGGGTTCATTCACCCACGCATCCATACAACTATCCAGCCATCCATCAATTCATCCGATGATTAATGCATAAAATCACCCATCAATCCCTGCCTCCACCCTTCCATTCATCCAAGAGGTGGAACACACTCTTTGAAGTTTGGTAGTAGCATAAAGAAAACCATAGCACATCCCCATCACTTCGTCACCAAAGCGATTCACATTGCGCCCTCTCCGCCTCCCCCCCGCCGCCCGATACCATCGCCTTGGCACAAAGTCGGTCTCACAAAGAGCCGCCACCTCCCTCCGCTTTTCCCTCCCGCTGTGGTTGCAGTACTTTTAGGAAATAAATCACAGCATCACGCATTTGTGTGCGTGGTGTCGACACAGGAGGACTTCGTGAGGAGCTTTAAAGCTTCCCGCAATCACAAAACCCCACCCAGCGGCCATAATTTTTCGATCCTCGTGGCTCTTTGCCATGTGAAAGGTAAAGGGAAGCAAAATAGCAGTGACTAATCCACAATCAACACCCTCTCCAATGCTTCCGATAATTTCACAAGATCACCAATTTCCAATTCAATTTGACACTAAAAAAGGGGGAGTAGAACACTCTTTCGGGAAATGCTTTTAAGTCCAGTTTTCTGTGTATTGAAAAAATGCTCAAATAATCATTTAAGAAGGGGAAATTCTCACTGAAATAAAGGAAGGCACAGATGAACTGCCACTGATGAATAATAGTCTTTAACAGAATTTGCTGAGATGGCAATCCGGAAGCACGGCATTTGATTAGCAATACCTTCCATCCATAATGAGATTCCAATTTCATTTTCGTGAACTAAAAAAGGAATTTTTGGGGACCACAGCCATGACTTCGCTTAGGCCTCAGTTCCAAAGCAAAAATAAGGGAAGTTTGTTAGAAAACAGCCCCTAAAGGGTAACCCGAGTACTAAAGTTCATCGAAGCTGAATTATCCACGGATGTGCGATGGATTGATTTAAAAACACCTTTTTTAAAGATATATTTTCCGGTGCTATGGCTTTCAGAGACCCTTCAACAATTAGACGAGTGAATCCACTAGCATAAGAAATTGTTGAAGATGTGTGTAGTGTGCTTATACACTACTTCAGGGAAAGAGTTCTTCAAATAGCAGAGATTTGATTTGAGTTGGTATTGTCGAGCATGACTTATGGGGCAAATTTGTCGCCGCTACTGTGCTTCTGCTAAACGGTATGGTCCCCCGGAACAATGACAGCAGCACCCCTCCCCCAACCCCTCTGTAGGTCGGCAATACATACTTTGCCCAAGTACTCGACCTTCATTCATCTTTAGGGCAGTTGCGCGGCGCTACACAAAGCAACAGATGCTAAGCATTGCCAGCAATGGTAAACAAACAAGGTGTTTCTAGACATTCAACAGGAGGCAAGCCAGGATGTCACTTTGATGGTGCAATCATTCAAAACGCATTTTGGCAGCCTCCTCAGAATTCAGGCATAAATACTGCCCACAACTATTAAATAAGTTCCCTTTTCCAATCTCATGGCTCCTCGTCAGGGGTGTGGAGAAGCATTCAAGCGATTGAGGGAGAAGTACCGAATTTCCACCTTCCAGAACCATCACTCAGTTCACTGCTTTCAAGCTCAGCTAAGTAAAATTTGTTATCTTCTGGTCTTCAGTCTTTGGACGTTTTGTGTCTTTAAATTTATAAGAATGATTTTCAGGGCTTATCGAAGGTGCACAAAACCTCCAGGTCAGACATTTAAAATCTTCCTTGAAGTGAGTGGTGATAAAGCTTAATCGCCTACGTGGATGTGGGGTTTGGAAGCCAATTCTCCGAAATGCCAGAAACGGATAGCATTCGGACGATGATCGATCTCCACTTACAAAATGTGCTAGCACTACATTTATCATGCAACAAACCCCGAGGTTGTCACCCTATGCTTTAGTCCCAACCAAGCGCATCCACTTTAACCCGTTTGACAAACCCCCTCGGAGATCATAGAACCCTCGGTAGAGCCCCAGATCCCAAACTACTCACAATCACAAAGTGCGACCTTTCCTTCAGTTTCGCGGCTTGCCTTAAGAGGGTCTAAATACGAGGAAGCACATGATGTTCAAATCTTTCGAGGGCTGCCCGCTGAAATAACACGGAGGGGGCGCCGAGTCGCTGCGGCCCAATCCACAACCACCAGAGCACCATCCGTCTGTCTAGTGCTGTCGGAAGCGGCTCAAGCGATCAACCAGCTCCCACCTTCAATTTGATTGTTTGCTAATGACACTCTCAAAATCCTCAATAGAAGCCTGGCTGCTCAGAGACGACTCTTTCAGGTCCTTATGAAGAAAAAATACCGTCTGATTCTACGTGGCGAGACGTAGAGCTGCTGGATGTCCTTAAATTTGCAAGCACGTCGGTCTGTCCACATCCAAAAGCAGACACACCTCACTTGCTCGCACATATATATATAGATGTATGCATATTATGTACATAAACACAAGAGAGAGGAGAAACTTAACGAGGAGCATCAGCGATCATCATTGATGGATGCATGGCGGAAGAGAAGGAGGGAAGGGAGAGCAGAGACGGGAGGTAGGAGCAAAGAGAACTTGTGCCTGCAAGGCTTCAGGGGGCATAATAACGTGTGGCTTTGTGGAGGGGTCGGGAGAGCGCAGACAACTCATTCAACACATGCTGTCGGCGTTAGTGCCACCTTTACTGATGCTGCTGGTGACCTTCAACACCCAACAACGACACACGCAGACATGACTAAGGACTATCGGGAGTAGGAGGAGTGATAAAATACACATTGTACAGCGCGCACGCGTGTGTATATAATGGGGAGAAAAAAAAGGACAAATGCAGGGGTGAGATAGTGTGGGGTGGATGTCCTACAATTATTTCTCAATCAACAATATCCGAGATTTCCTCTTCCCCCCGACACCGCTGCCGTGGCAACCACATTTGGCGGTTGAATAGTGGGTCCACCGGAGGCAAGGAGTGCCTGTTCTGCCTCCACCTCCGCCTCCCCCACCTGATTTGTCTCTAACGTTGAGGTGTTGGCGTTACTTGCGGCGCTGGCGGCCTCCACCGATCGATAGACAAATAAACCGGGCGGTAGGGCATCTAGACTGGAGGGCTGTTGGCGAAGAATATGTGGAGGCAGTGGAGTCTCACCCGGTTGCCTTGGAGAGCCGAGTTGTTGACGCTGATTCGCAAGGTCCTTTTTGATTCGCATTGCTGAAAGACGGTGGGAAGGGTTGGCAAACCAACACTCCGTCATGATGTGGTAAAGCAGCCGCAGACTTGCATCCGTCTGCCATACCAATGGCAGATGGGGACGTATGCCCAGTTCACACACCACGGATTTCATCTCTTCGATCAAGGGATCAGGGCCTACGTTATCCTATAAGAGACACACGAACCTTCAGATCAAGCTAAGGGCTTTCAAAGGGAGAAGGAGGACTTTCGAAGGCGCCAAACCTGATAGGGAAGCTGATATTCCTCAGGACCGTAGAGATTAGCAACATAGACACGTCGAGTCATCTCCCAAAAGACCAGACCCAGCGAGTAGATATCCGCTTGCATGTAGGCATCGAAAGAATGGGCATAGAGGGTGTTATCTAGTACCTCCGGTGCCATGTACCGCTTCGTGCCAATGCGTTCCGTGTTGTGACCGATATCTACGCTGCCGGTGAGACTGTCGTACTTCACGGCAAAGCCCAAATCCCCGATACAGCATTCACCGTCCGCTTTTACCAGAATATTTCGAGATTTGAGGTCACGATGAGCTATTGGTGGTTTGCCCTTCGAAAAGAAAAATGCACACATGTCAGACAGTAATTTCTTCACACAAATACGAGAAGGTAGGTACATCGCAAGGGGAGATATAACTGCGCAAATTGAGTAATAAATCACAGCCGTTTCGCAGTCATAGGGGGAAAAAGTAGCACACACAAGGATCCAAGGTCGATTATCGCTTGCGTTGTAGAAGCGGGGATGCGAATCAGTGCCGTAGATCTTTCTGAGTCCGAAAAACTAACAACACGCTTACGCAACTGCTATTTTCAGTAGGAGTGGGAGTACACACTAACTCATACCCATAGCCTACGTAAATCGTGCTTTGAGAATCGTTGGAGAGAGGCAAAGTTAGCAGTTACTGTTTGGTAATTAAGAGCATAAATGAGGCTAATTTTAACAACTAAGCATTTAACGGATTACGTACAAGTGCCCACTTTCAGAGAAAAGGAGGAGCGTAGAAATGCTCTAGACGAGCCATTTTGGTAAAAGTTGCCCAATAACCTCCATATCTGTAGACAAATTTGAAGCGCCGGCCAACTGTTCAAGAGGTTGAATGTACATATATAATTTGGTGAAAAAGGAGGAAGGGCTAATAGCAACACTCTCGAAACAGGGATACAATGCACTCAATGACTCAGCAAATGGTAAGTTTATAGATGAAGAACACCGACAGTCTCTTCCTCGTTTAACATGAGAAGAGACGGAAGAGAAGGAACAGATGACAGAGGAATCAATTCACTTCACGAATAAAGTTATATCACAAACCGATCATTCAAGTAATTACCAACTTCTAAAAAATGATTCCAAACTCGCCCTCACACATTTGAAGACAAGTTTAGCAATCATCTAGATGCTCAAAGAGAAAAGGAAGAGTGTAGGAGCACCGCAGAAGCATTGACTGATGCAAATGACAAGACATTTGGCAAATAAGATTTCACCATTCACTGGAGTAGAAGTATTCGCCGATTTTCAGACTTATCGATGAGTGTGGAGATCTAGCAAACTATTTTAGACATGAAATGGATGCTTAAAAGGCTGGGCTATGACTAACGTTCAATCACTAACTGAACGTTCGAAGTCACTAGAGAAGGATAATTAATAGTTCCTTCTTTTTGACATCCAAGAAATAAACCGACAACGTTTCATGAGTTGGGGAAAATGAACAGATCTCTTGATGATTACAGAGAGAAGAAGAATACATTAACGAAATTATTAAGATTTTCAACTATTCTCAAGTAGAAAAATTCGTCGCCTCGATCTCAATAAATTTAAGGACTCAGTAAAACGCTTAACGCAAAGAGCTAACGGCACCTTCCCCATTCAGACTAGTCCACTGAACAACAGAAAGCTCCCAAAAACAGCGCTGCAACATGTCCAATCAGTACAGAGTAGGTTGTCGAAAAAATCAGCGCAAAAGTACAGAAGAAATCTAAGTTAGTTGCCTAGGCAACGAAAAGCGGAGGAAGGGCGGCTATCAATAGCTGTAAGCTTGTTCGCACACATAAAATGACAGGCACACACACAAATAGGAGGCTCAAGATCTATTTTGATTTTAGATAAATGCGGAAACGGAAAGAAGACGAATAGTTCCGAAATCATTGCCCTTTTGAATGTGATAGGAGGTCTACCGATTGTCGTGTGAGAAAAAGGTGTTTATTTTTAGAATCTGGCCCCAGAGAGACGAAGAGGTGGGACTCAGATGTAGCTCAACCAATTCGCGGGGCAACATCAATCAAGAGATGGTGCGATAAGTGGAGTTCCGGTCATTTGGCAAGGGGAAGGGGGTGGGCTAGTGATGACAGATGTGAGTGATGCCAGCGTGGGGCCATAAAGAGGGGGCGAACGTGGAGGAATGAAGAACGGTCGCGAATGCACCGCTAATTGTCTCAAGCGCGCACGCACACGGGGGGTGCACCATTACCATTATAGCACAGTGCGATCCTACACCGGACAAGAGAGGCCGATGGTGACGAGGTGAAGCTCTGAGAAATTACACACACGCATACAAACATGTCAACAAGAGCGACCTGTTTATGCGTGTGTATGCGCTTGTAGGCGCTAGCAGTCTCCCATAAAACGCACAGGCTCTTGGCCGTAAACACATACGAGGCATTAAGCTCGCTACAGAATGGACTGAGTTCGCGGGTAGGGCCGGATTGATCTATTATCCATTCCATTTGTCAGCTATGTTAAAAATGAGCTGAGCTGTGCACCATTGATGGAGCAATTAGTAGAGAGAGGGCGAGGGGGAAAGCGAAATTGAAACTGCGCTTTGTAGAGCGGCGCCACAGGCAGTAAAAAAGGAGTGGAAGAGACGAATGAATTGATCGGGACATGTGCAATTATTTTCACTCATCCATTACCACGGAACACGATATTTACTGACAAGATGAAAAAAGTGCAGAATTGTCAGCTAGTAGCGAAGTGGAAATGATTTTGCCTCAGAGTCAAATTAAGCAGCTTTCAGTAAGCAAATGGCATCAAATTCGATGGGAAGCATTCAGAATGACCAAATATGGTTGTCCTTTAAGGCGTTAGTTGTCAGCGAATAGTAGCAAACACTATTCAATGATGGAATGGAGGATAAACTAAGAGATAAATGCTATAGCCATTTACTTGATAACCGTGATTACTCGCTCCACGACAAAGCTCAAGACGAACCCACACCAAGGTCCTAATATTGTTAAATCATGGAAGACCAATAAATAAGCTAATCATTTTGGACTCAGTAGAAAGAACTGTACTATTTAAGCAAGGTCAATTTCAAAGATTCTCATTTCCCATGATTGCTGCTGGGTAGTCAGAAAACAAGGTAACCTAAACTACGCGATGACAGGGAGACGATAAAAAAACATCAAGAAGATTCACCATAGAAACAAACGAGAGATTTCGCAACCAATATTACCTTCTACGACTCCATTCAGGAAATGCTTTGACAGGGAGTCAGTTCCCAACTTGTTAAGTCATCAACATCCGAATTCGGCACTTTTTCACCACTTTTTTCTGACTATGAGTGCCCTTTGAGGGATTGACAGTGGGACATACATACATGACTTAACAGAGAAAATTTACAGGGATTGAACTTGTGGTCGTAAACGACAGCACCAAATATAAGAGCAATTTCAAGTTTAATGACGGCCGAATTCCCGAAATTCCAGTTTGACGCAAGTCCGAGCCTCGGGATAACGAAAAAAAAGCATTTTAGGAACGGTCTTCTCTTCGAAACAACAGAACTCAACATTCAGAATTAACAAAGCTTAGAAGGCAGTTCAAAGACGACTTACCGTACATAAAAATCTTAAGGTTTTGAAATGTGACAATGAAACGGAGGAAAGATAATGAATGAAGGGATCTAACTAACATTAACTTTTTAAAAACTTCGTGTTTTCCATGGGACAGCAGTCAAAATAAGTTCAACAAATAGTAGAATTCACGTTTGGACAAAAAACAGAGCCTCAACCTGGTAAAACGGCAGCAGTTTAGGGCTAGCAGATCCTGAAGAGATAACAAAAGGCACAATTTAAGGTCAACATCAGTTTGATAAACTATTACAAAGAACCCTTGATGCCCAAAGGCGGTGCAAAAGGGATCAGAACCAGCAACGTTCCGCAAAATGGGAAAACTCAACTTTCAAGCTCTCAACAATGGCACCCAAGGTCTATTGAGCATTTCAAAACACGAACAAGGATGCCAATAAAGCACAAAATGTGGCTATTTTTAGCCTCTTCCCTTAATTGCCTCCCAAAATTAGCATAAAACTGGACAAGAAGGAAAGGAGACCACAGTCATATGCAATCGCACAAAAGTGAGTGTGTTTGGTGATAAGAATGGCACAGAACAGTGATTAAGGCGTAACAGAGGGGGAGAAAGATAGCCCCAATCTAACGGATGAAGCACCCCCACACAAGATTGCACACGATGAAACGTGGATAGGTGAATGCGAAGCGGGGAGTGCGCGTACTATAACACACACAGGTAGGCCCACAGGGGATAGAAATCCCACCAACCTACCGAGGTGCCAACAATGGCCATGTGGAGATGCGCCAGTCCGTTGGCAATGGATGAGGCCATTTTGATGAGGGCGGGAAGAGTGAAGGCGTGCGACTGGAGAAACTCGTAGAGCGAACCCAGACGATGATACTCAGCGATTAGCCAGAGCTCCGTTGAGATTCCGTTGTCCTTGTTGTCCGCAGCGATGAATCCCAGGATGTTGCTATGACGCAGAGTTGCTGTCTCGTAGATCTCCTTCTCTCTGAGGGCGAAGAAAGTAATCCAGTGGAATAATTACAGTACTAATTGCAGCATGTGGCTCCCCTGTAAGGGTTGGTACACATACCGTTCAGCGGCAAATCTAGACTCAGATCGCTTTTCTGAGAGTAGCATCTGAAGGTGAGCAATCTGATAAATTGCAGTCTTGAAGTATTTGTAGTAATATCAGCACGTCAACTAAGTTGGTGAATCTTTTCACGGAGTAAAGAGGGCGGAATTTTCAGAACTTTAACATACAATGTCGGTGTTTCGGTAGTTTCGAGTAGTTCGACTGGCGTACCCTTTAAAACCCTGGTGGGTTCTTCAGGTCAAGACTTTAAACATGTGAACTCCTTACAAGTACTGAAAAGCACAATGGTTAATGTCAGGACGGCGCTTATTGCCGTTCTTCCTGTAAATTTTTGAGACAGACTTTTTTAATTCCTAAGAAGCAAACAATGTAACGTAACGTTACATACAAAACTAACTTCCTTTTACCCACAACACTAAGTCTAATGGAGACTTTTCAATTGCTTTGAATTTGGATCAGCTTCCTCTTAAGCACATATTATTTTGTAAAAACACAAGACAAAACAAAAATCTGCCATTTTCATTACATTACCCATTGAGTGGTAAAGTCGTTGATTCCGTTAAGGATGCTCCTTGCCTCCAGGATGGCACCGAACACCAAAACAATGCAGTTGATTTATTTTAATTGGGTGTGCATATGCGAACGTGTTCAACGCAACCGACTGCATTTGCGTAACGCCCAACTTGTGTCAATAAGCCAAATTTAAGTCTTCCATTTTGGAAAGACATCAGAGCACTTTGATTCGTTTATTCGGGTGGCCTTTCTACAGGGGGCATGGCTCTGCAAATAAGCAGATAAATTGGCTTGCAATGCATCCGAACATTGGGCAACAAATTTTTCATTAAGCAAAACCGACCCGCGCGAACGCAATTCAAAGGCAAAATTCCTCAGAAGATTACAATCTCTCGAGGTTAAGCTTAAGTATTAGATGCCTGCAGACCAAAAGATGAGGAAATGGATTGCTGATCGGGTGGAGCCGATCACCTAATAGCAACTAGCTGGAAGGAACTAGGTGATTGCTACAATGGGGCTTTCCATAAGTCTTTCGATGGACTAAAAGCGATCAACCATCACGGAAACAAAAATGAACTCCAAGTACAGCTGGGATGTGCAAAATGACTGGCCAGATCGACTGCTTGCGCTGATCATCGGTTCTTAATATTTGGGCCCAAAAACGAATAAACCCATTACCCGAGCTTTCTAGACTTTGATTGAGTGAATTTAAACACTTAATGCAGCGAGCCAGAGGGAAGACCAGGAACGCAGCAAGCCCAATCGTCAGATGCCCAAGTCTTAGACAAAACGAATTGTTCTATTGTGCTTCCTGTGAAGAGACGCGGGGGAGGGTCGCAGCAGCAGAAGCAGTCACATCATCAGCACCTCTCATCACACTTTAGCTGCCACCGCCACTGCCACCGTCGTCGTGGCCACGGCCTTGTCCCAGTAGGGGGACGCCCACCGTCCCACACACAAGCACACGCAGAACACCACCACCATCCTTCATGAGAGCCGAATCGGGTGTAGTTCGCCGGCTGGCTAGCTCACTAGCTCTCCCTCTCGCCACACCCACGAGGGCAAGGAGGGAAGGCCTCTGTCGGTGGCGAAAGCTGGGTCAACCCAAGTGGCGCGCGAGTTGGAGGGAGAACGTTGAGGTGAGTCACGGCGACAACAGCGACGACGACGACGACAACGACAACGCACATACAAAAAACGGCAGCGGGCAGTGCAGTGCAGCGCAGCACAGCACAGCACAACCTGGTTCGGCACAGTACAGTTCTTAGGCTTGTGTGCACGCGGCCTGTTGCATCATAACAACGGCCATTGACTGGGCCAGCATCGACACTAGAGATGTCTTAGGCGGTAATGTGGAGACTGGACTTTTGCAATTTGAAGGTCTACGCTCCAATAAGAGGCGGCGAGTTACGAACTAAACCGCCTGCAGAATAGCCTATCCACGAAGTTCAACACTCGCACAGGAAAGAATAAAAGCCTAAATGACCTCAAGAGGGTGTCTATCTTCCTCTTTCATTCGACTTAACCAGTGCTAGTAGTCCTCTCAAAGAAGTAAAACATCATTGAGTGAGTGAACTGAAGAGTGTGCTATTCCAGCAACAAGAACCGTTCAGAAAAGAAGACATTGAATCGTCTTCAAATGGAGCATAAAGTTTTGCTCCCAGGGTCTGATATCGCTGTGAAACGAAAGACAGTAGACATCAAAGTAACAAAAAACATCGACATCGAAATTATCTGAAAATGCATTGAGTCCCATCACCAATAGAGTTACGCATTTCATCGTTAAGGTTTCCAAAGCAACTACATAGACCTTTTTTATCCCTATAATCCCTACACAACCTATTCAGAGATTTAAACACTTAGACAAATAAGAAGACATTTGATTACCGCTGAGGTTCTTTTAAGATTCACGATCCGTTTTAATGACGGCTGAAATCATCAGATAGTTTTCAAGTAACAGCCGCAAAACCGACCAGGAAAGATGTTCAAATATTATAATGCACTATATTTGATTATCCAGTGAAATAATTCAGAACAGTTCAATATTCATAGACATCAACAACCATTATTGAAACAGCAGAAACAGATTTCAAATGTGATGAAGAGCTTCTTATTCCAATACTAATCTTTCCAGACCTATGATTTTTCATCGAAGGAATATGGAATGAGATCTTAGTAATCCAACACATGGAAGGGGCACACTTTAATCCGTGATTGGAACATGTAGCCCTCCAGGACCTAGCACCACCCTAGAAGTCGATGCCGAAAGACAGAGGTAAATGTCAACACCACCCACCTAATCCACGAGTTCTCGTTCCGACTGGAGAATATCTTCACAGCCACCTGATCACCATGCAGTCGGCCGAGCCAGACCTCGCCATATCGTCCTTCGCCAATACGTGCACTCAAAGTGACCTGACGCGCAACTGTGCGTTCCACTAGCAGTGGCTGACCCGCACCCGACCCACTTCCCGATAGAGTGATTTCCAGAGTGCCACCAGCCCCAGGCGGAGCAGAACACGAGGCGGGGAGCATAGAAGCACCCCCACTAGCAGCTGTATAGGAAGCGCCGCCACCACCAAGGCCAACAACCTCCGAGCCCCGGACGACCGTAGAACCACCGATGGAGTTGTGGTAGGACGAAACACCTGTTGGAATCGCTCCAAGACCCCGAGGAGGTCGTACAGCAACCACAGAGGAAATGGAGGAACTAGCCATCAGAAAGGGCGTGCGAGAGGGATGGAGAGGGACTGAGTCGATGAGAGTGGTTGCGACACTGACCCCACTATTCGCAGCGGTGGCGTTAAGAACGCCCCCGTTGACAGCGACGGCGCTGGCATTAGCGGCGGTGGTAGCGGTTGGTATAGCGCTTACCATGGAGGCGCCACTGGCACCGCATTCCACCATGTGCCAAGGGTGCGTGTCGCTCGGAGACGTGTGACCTGTGGCATCGCCGATACACCCAGCACCAATCATGGAAACGGGTGCTTGGGAGGCTGAAATACGGTGAAGTAAATCACCTTAAACTTCCCCCTCTCCTTTATGGCAGGGTGATTGATTGGAATGGGAAAATGAATTTGCGCATTTGTGACATGAGATAGAAGAATAGATCTAACAGAATTAGATTTAATAACTCGATACATAGGATGCACATCAAATGATAGTTTCAACAACTCTCAGCGACTTCGTGATTTTTGCATAGGATACCAGTATTTCGATGACGGAGGATGAATGAAAACAAAAGAAAAATTTGATAGGTGTAGTGATGTTAACACAATCCGAAGACAATCTGATGAGCCTAGAACATGAGGTAGACACGAACTCTAAATACTCATAAAAAAACAACTTCATTTATGAGCTTAAAAAGCTGCTAGCCTTAAATCATAAGCTAACGACATAAAAATTAAATAAAACAGATTAGCTGTATTATAACCGCAAAAACACTCATTTTTTCGTTGGCTTAAAAACAAAAAACGACCCTGTAAATACATTGAATCTCTCACATTTCGCGATTCCGCGATGAAGGGTAACAAAAGGTGTGAAGACGATTCTACTTAAATCAATTATCACTTTCAAGCAATAAAAATATGCACCATTTACTTGCTTTATCTAGAAACAATAACTAGAAGACATTCATTACGCATTTAAGGGATGCAAACCCAATGCCATAAGGTGAACTTACATTTTCTCCAGTCTACAATTGAAGAAAGGGGTGAATTAATAAATTAAAAAGAAAAGGCGAGACAAACAAAAAAGGACGCGTACCAGCTTTACCTCGACACCGCCAGAAGCACCAGCCGGCAACAAGCATTAGGACAGCAAGGACAAGAAAGATGGACAAAATCACAATTAGGGTGTTGTCTTTGGGCACCTCGACAATCAACTTCGACAATTCCTCCTTCAGAGGCAGATTACAGAAGGATGAGTTACAACAGCGCATGTTCGCCGACTCACAGCTGAAGGGCTTCCAGAAGTCCTTTTGACGCAAACATCTATAGATACACCGAAAGAAATAATCAGGACGTAAAAAAGTGGAGGATAGAAAATAAGAGACCCTACACACCCCATTTCGTAGAGCCTGTGAGGCGGCACATTCGGTTCATTAATCAGCTTGATAATGCAACGCTCTCCAGGTGAGATTGTGCAGCAAAAGGGCTCCTCCCGAATCTGCCGGTAGTAAGCATTATTGCTCTCCTCGTCATTGAAATTCTGTAGCAGAGCGTCAATGTAGCGTCGCCATGTGCCGAGTTCGTCCACGGACATGCCTGTACAGGGATGGCAGTCACTTTCATCAGGATTGCAGAGGAGTTTCAGACATTCTTTCCGATTTGCTATGGACGGCTTAGCGGCAGAAAAAAGGAGGAGTAGCGAGAGGGCAAACATGTCGGGAAAGAGCTTGGAGTCTTTGGTCTCGAGGGTGGTTAGAAGGTCGGGGAGGTATACGCCATATAGTGAATCTGGGGGTTCTGAAAAAGGGCGAAAGTACTAAACTTACACAGAAAAGATTTGCGAATTAAAATTTAATTAGAAGTGAGGGAAAATCCATAGATGATTACACTGCATTAATGAGGTCAAACAGGGGAAGGGTGGGTACGCGTTTCAAGATGCTTTTTAACAAGGTGATGAACATTTCAAATAGAGCATCAAAAAGAAAAAAAATATAAAGGACGGCACATCGACTATGCCTTATACAAAAGTTAAGCAGCTATCGCTGCGAAAAGGCGGCAAAAGTTGGTGAGAACACATGAAGTTTAAAGTAGGGATATATAATGGGGCAGTAAGAGGCCCATTAATAAACGCCATACCTTCTTAAAGAAATTGATGAGATGAATTTGCCAAAGCAAGAGCTCGACGCCTTATGGGCATTTATGCTAAGCGTAAGCCCACCAGCAACGATAAAAGAGCAGCGAACGAAACGCACTCACACGCCGCGCCTTCAAATGGATGACTAAAACAAACCATGCCCTTGAAAGAATAAAATGAAAATCAAAGCAAAGGTGCTAAGACAGTGCGGGGACCATGACCTAGTTTTGAACTAACACAAAATTTTAAGACTCTTCAAAGGGCTTAATAACAAAGATGTTGCTCATCTAAAAATTGTGTTAAACTTGAACAAAACTAGGCCATTTTGTGGAAAGTAGTGCAGCGTCCCGAGACTTTCCTGAAGACGGAGGAAGACACAATACTCGGGCAAAATATACATTCAGCACGGAGAAGGTGTTTGGGCTACTGGTATGGCCCGTAGGCCAGCCCACCCAGCGAGATACGGAAAGACCTGTTCATGAAACCACCATCGTATCACAGTAAATTTCCTGATTAACAAAGGGTTTTAGGGATAGGATATATTGTATGTTATTATAAATCAAGTAACGGGAGCAATTCTATGCATAGAAGTGAAAATGTTAGGGCTAAAATGTGTAGTCCATTTGCCAAGCAATCAGTAGAAACCCAAGTGTTATTCAGTTAAAAACCGGAATTCGCAAACGCGCTAGATGAGTTCCCTAAGAGGCTAGATCACAATCTCAAGAAAATGTTTTGCCTTCAAGGATATTCGTTAAAAATGCCCATGTAAGTATCATGAAATTTACAACCCATACTGCTGAGCAAGACCAACACGCCGACGGTTGCAATTTTAAGCCAAAATGCAACTAACCGTGATTGACTACTCCCAACTGCTTACAGCTTGTTAAAGAGACACGCATTGCTGCTCAAGACAAAGTGCTCGGCTTTTGGATTAAAACACCAAAACAAGCTTAAAAGTTTCTTTAACCTATAGTAATAAATTAGTCCAGCTTACAACACAGAAAATATAAGTTTGACTGAGAAGTTGTATTTGACTCATCATTCTCTCCAACGGAGCATTAAATGTTTTAGCCCTACACTGACTTATCCTCACGACTGTTTAGTTAACATGGAACACTTTTTTAAATATTAAAACTAACACAAAACACCGTTAATTAGTGGCGGCGCTGCAGATACCAGCGATACCTACATTTTAAGTCACTTACCATCCAAAGGTTGGAATGATCCTCAAAAACGTTTGCATTATCACCCCTAATATATCTCCAAATCTCAAAAATAAGTGTAATTTGAATCAATTAACACTTACATAAGTAGTGCAACAAGCCAAGACTTCTCTAACAATGAAAGGAAAGGTATCACTTGGGCAGATTATATTTCATAGGCGTAGAGAAGCGTGTAAAATGTTGGCTGTTTCATTAACGGTTAGCTTTGGTAAAGGGCCTCTTTGCTTTGACCATTGTACCTTGGCTGGTGAGCTGGCCTCCGGACTATGTCAGCAGTCCCGTTACCTTCCGCATGTCGAATATATGTAATACGATGGTGGTTTATCCCTCGATATTGGTGAGGCTTTACTTTTGGACTTTTGAATTTGTCTTCTTGTACCCCGCTGGGTGGGCTGGCCTTC